CTAATTTTCAACATTTTTCTACAGTAAAAAACGTTGATACTCTTTCCTGAAATTACTCTGTAATATAAAAAAAATAAAAATGAAATGAAATTAAATTCATTGGTTTCCATGAAAATTTTATGAATTTTGACCCAAGTATTTTAATAAAATTTTAAGACAAAAATTTTGAACATTTGTCCCAAATTTGATAAATTGATTAGGTTTTGTAGTGGTAATTCAAAAATAATTATTCCTAATTCTGTGTTTTATCTTTCTAACAAACTTTTGATCATTCTGAAAGGAAACAATATCTCCAATTTATGAAATTTAATTTCATTTTAATTTAAAATTAAATATGTAAAAAATTAGATTCTTTGTAATTGATAAAAAAAACAACTTTAGTGTCTTGTTACACAAAGTAACTATTACCCATTTAGTTCCAATGTAAAAAGAAAGGAAAAATGACAAAAGAGTAGTTTTCTTTAGAATATTCATAATTTACACTTTCCCACACATTCACATGAGTGCAAAGGTTGATTTATTGTGAATTTGGAGGCCGTTTCCGAGCGACTGTGCCATCGCACTCACCGATTTAGTAATCAAACCATTCATTGTCTTGATTTCCGGGTAGTAGAAAATTCCACGAAATCATCAGTAGTCGTAGTGTAATCGTAAAATTACAACCAATGTTGCGTCAGTGAAAGGAAGTCACAATGTTTCAAATTAGTAGTCCTTTCGGGTGCCCGAGGGCCATAAAAACGCTTGTTAACTATTTTTATTAAACTGAAAGTAATTTTTGCCCTTGTCTTTTTCAGATGAGTTCCAAACATTCCGAAATTCGTATCCGGAATGGTGTGACAGTTGTTCCGAACTGTTGGACACTTCGGGAGGGACAATGCCATCGGCCGCCGGCCCTGACCCCCTGCCTCTCATGGGGCTGCGCTCGCTTCGCATTTCAGCCCCCCCGTTGCACAGACCTCATCGAAGCTGCGACAGTTTGTCCTCCACTGCCAACAGCTCCACCGACAGTTCCGACACCGACGATCGATGTGACAGTTCATTGGGTAAAATAGTATATTATAATACTAGTTTATAAGCAAGCCTTTACAACACGACGCGTCAGCGGAGTGCTTTTAACGTCGTAAGTTTTTTAAAGGCGCTTATAAACGAGTGTTATACGCAATTTTTTATTATACCTGCCCATTTACGATTTTTTATGAGCATCGAAAAAATGTGAATTTACACAATAAAATTATCAAAGGTTGTTTGTGAATCGTTTTCGTAGAGACGGTTACTAGTTTACGTTGTTAAGCACATTTTTTCACGTTGTAATTGGTCCAGACATTTCACTATTTCTTGTTACCTAGTAAACTTTAAAGTTCAGCGTGCTATAAAAGCCAAATTACGCACGCTGCAGCGTGATTATGATGCAGGTATAATAAAAAATATTTTCCTTCACAATAATTATTGACCGGTCAAAGTTCGACATTTTTTCAACTGTTTGTAAATTATCAATGGAATTATCTAAATGCTCGACAGGTCGTTCATTGATGCTTTCATTCATGAAAGGAGTTTGCCAGTCATTGCTAAATATAGCGCGATGATTATCAAATTACTAATTATTGTTATAAGTCGTGTCTTGCAGTCATCAATAAAATTAAAATCTGTGAGTAAAGAATTGAAGTTCTTTCAGGTTTGGAAGATGATAGAGAGTTTCCTGTCGAAATTCTTCCGTACTTGTTTCTCGGCAATGCTGCCAACAGTGAAGACAGTCAGTCTCTTGAACGACACGGCATTCAGGCAAGTTTTAAGCATCCAGCCCAATCAGGAAAAAATTTTTTTCTACTTTGCGTTGTTTTGCGTATCATACTGAACAAAAACAATGTATGAAAATTATACTAAAAAGAGGGAAATTTAGTCTTATAATCAGTGTTGTCAGGTGTAATGAAATTTCACCAGATCTGGTGATTCATGTTAAGTGATTTGGTGAAAACTTTTGTAAAAATTCTAATATGAGGTGATTTTTTTAGAAATGAAAAAAATTATCTTTCGAGCATCTTCCACGTTTTCAAATAGTTCTGTGTTTTTTTAAAAGATTTTACTAGACAGGATCAAAAATGACAATTCAGTTTTGTCTTTTTAGAATACTGTTTCAGTTAGAAACACAATTATTTCGCAAAATTTCGTTAAAAATAATCCAAAAATTCAACAAAGTCGACCATAAACGGCGTTATTTCTACCCTTTTCAAGTGTTTAAGCAGGTTTTTGAGATACAAAAAATAGAAAATTCTAAAAATATTGTTGAAGCAGTCAAGAAAAAAATACAAAATTAACTTACTTACTACTTACTTCGTTTTTGAACCAGAGGTTTATTAATTTTGCAAAATTTGTCCAAACACGCCTAAAAACCACACAAATAAACTGAAATTGATGTTATTTTGTTTGTTTCACTCGATTTAACTGATTTTTGAATAAAATAATACCAAAATAAGCCGTAAAAACAAACAAAAAACGTTTTTGTACTAAAATCTTAGTTTTTTCTCTAGATTTCAGTAAAACAAACTAAATAGTAAAGAAATTAAGTCTAAAGTTATATTATTTTTCAATTTTTTAGGTGTTTCAACACGTTTTTTTTTAGCTAGAAACGCAATTATTTTGAAAAATTTTGTTGAAAACAAGCCGAAAAATTACAGAATTAGGCCAAAAAGCGTGTCATTTTTGCTTTTTTTTCAAGAGTTTAAGCAGATTATTTAAGCTTTGATGAGATTTTGTCATACAAATCGTAATCTGGTGAAAATTTGGCGAATTTTTCAACTCGGATTTGGTGAATTTTATGTTTTTGATGTGGCATCACTGCTTTGCCCCCAAGGTCCGTATTTCTAGAGGCGTACATTGCAAAACGTCTTCGACATCTTCGGAATTCATTTTTACGAATAAAATAATGACGTTTCAAATTAATTTATTTTATTGCCATCTAACCACCGCGCAATGTTGTCAACCGCCGCAAAATTCCCTACATTCCAAATTTTTAATTTTTTTGTTTAAAAAAGTGCAAAGTAGAAAAAATACTGTATGATATCTCGTTTATGCATTTTGTCGCATTTACTGCTTTATGACACTGCTCGCTGCGTTTGTCGTGCGACAAAATGCTTCTTGCAAAACTCATATCATAATATACTATTTTATTGCAGTACATACTGAATGTCACTCCTGACTTGCCTAATGTTTTTGAAAATGTCGGACATTACAAGTACATGCAAATTCCCATCACGGATCATTGGTCGCAGAACTTGGCGAGCCATTTTCCAGAGGCTATAGAATTTATAGGTGAGTTTTCATTTTCGTAACTTCTTCTTTTCACTCTTTTTATGTATGTTGTGTGTATTAAATTGTGGCGCGAAAAAGGGAACCAACGTAATGTAAGTTTACGGCTCGTGTAGCGTTCATAACACCCCAATTTCATTTCTGAATGAGCATTTCATGTGCTAGTCTACCGTTGTTTACTTATTTTCCATTCCAACACCGCAACTTTTCATATTGTAACATAATTTAAATTTCTGATTGGCAACACTGACTATCAAATTGAAACGTCACAATTTCATCGACTGACCCGTCACTTGCAACACCCTGTTGCCAGTTTACTTTAAAAGTCACAGTTTACTTGATTAGATTTGGTCATTTCCTTGTGTGAATTGTTGGTTGTCTACCCATTTGCAAAATAAATGAGAATTTTGTGCCGGCGCCCCTGTCGAGTCTTTGGGTCGTTTGTTTCCCACAATATACGTGGGTATTTATTTCGGGTGTGTGTGGGCGTCGGTGCCGTGTTGAAAATTCACCGGCGGCGGCACCGAGCCCGCCTCCCACGCTCACAAACTCGAAAATCAATAGGGCCGGAGCCTCGGTGAGGAGAGGAAGCGAGATAGCTACAATACGCAAAGATATTATTATGTTGTGTCGACGATAGACCGGCTGACTAAGCGAGTTTCTGTCTCCGTTTTTCCACCCTCCACCTTTCATTCAACAGAGACATGAATGGCGCTCTGATCTAGGTCACCGAGGGAGCGCCGCTCCCATTCACGTCGCTCCGGGTTCTCGGTTTGTTCCTATGCAAATCCCTCGCAGACCGAGTGGCTCTGGATCACGTTTTTTTATCCCTTTGCAACCCTCACGGACTTATCTTGTTTTGTGTAGGAAACTGTTTTTATCACGCATCGTTTGATGCTTTTTCCCTAGAGGTTATTCTATTCTATTCTTGTGAATAGGGGAGGGATTCATTCATCCTAGTTAGGAGCAAGTCAGGATTTGTTACGCGATTCATACTTTTTCTCATCTAGTTATGAATCACTGTACATGTCCAATAACAAGAAGTTACGTGGAGAATGGACGTTTTTCGTGAATGTATTGTTTATGCAAACGTTCTGTATTGATCAGACATTTCTGTTTCAAGTCCTTAGTTGTTATTTATTTATCGGAAAAACTCATTCCTTTAAAATCTGATTTAATCGAATATTTAAAAAGAGTAAAAGACAATACACAAACGCACTATAGTGCTCGGAATGGTTTTAAATGAATGTTTTACAACGATTTTGATTTTTGACCAAAAAAAACGAGCTAAATAATCTGTAATTAGCCAAATAATGTTCTAAGTCAGACCTGAAACGACTACTTTCTGCAAAATCGGTTAAAATAAGCTAGTTTCTGGCTCAAAAATGAGCTAAATCGCGTGAAGTTGTCTCAATAGCGTAATTCAAACTCAAAACGACGATTTACTGACCCATTTGAACAAAATAAGCCAGTTTATAAGTAAAATCAGTCAGAATTTAGTAAAATAGGGTTATTCACATCCGAAACAACGATTTGTTTGGTCTTTTTTGTCAAAATGTCTTAGAATAATTGATTGCTGTTTCAAAAATGAGCTAAATCACCCCGAAATTACGTCGATTTTTTAGTTTTTTTGATGACAGAATTTTCGAAATTATTGAATTTTTAATTTAAAAGTACTAATAAATCGTTCGGAATTAGCTGAAATAGGGCAATTTTGAAAACCACGATCTTTTGATGGCTCAAAAACAAGCTTAATCGCTCAGCGTAATTATTTATAATTTATAGCGTAATTCAAACCTAAAACAATGATATTCAGGCCTGTTTTAGCAAAATCTCTAAGCTAGTTTCTGGCTTAAAATTGGGATAAATCATTGGAAATAGCATAATTCTGATTTAAAACGACTATTTTCTGGGCTATTTCAGCAAAATCTCTTAAAATATGCGGGTTTTTGACTCAAAAGTCCGCTAGAATTGAGTAAAATAGCGTGAGTCAGATCTAAAATAAGAATATTTGGCCTGTTTCGACAATTTTTTTTGGATTACGTGAGTTTCTGACTAAAAAAGCGCACTAAAATCGCTCGAAATTTACTGAAATTGCATAATTCACATTTAAAATGACAATTTTTGACTCTTGAAATAATTTAATTCGAATTTATGATTCAAAAATGAGTTAAATCGCTTGAAATTGTCTGCAATAACGAACTTAAAACCTGAAAGGACGATTTCATAGTCTGTTTTGGCAAAATCTCTTAAAATAAACGACTTTTGATTCAAAAACACGGCTCGAAATTTTTGGCCTATTCAGCAAAATGTCTAAGAATAAACGAGTTTATGACTAAAAAATAAGCTAAGTCACCCGAATTTGGCTTAAATAGACTAAATTAGAACTAAAAAGACGATTTTTTTCCTATTATGGAAAAGTCTTATAAAACTAGCGAGTTTCTGATTCAATAATGTGTTAAATCACCATAATTTAGCAGAAATAACGTAATTCAGATCTAAAACGACGATTTTTTTTTAGCTTGTTTCCTGGTTAAAAACACGCTAAAATCGTTCGAAATGGACTGAAATAGCACAATACACATCTAAAACGACCATCTTTTGGCCTGTTTCGACAAATTCTCTTATATAATGTTGAGTTTTTGACTCAAAAACGCGTTAAAGTCGCTCGAAATCGACTAAAATAGCATACATTTTTTTTGGCTTCTTTCGGTAAAATCTCAAAATTAATTGAATTTCACCCAAAATTGGCCGATCAGCGCAAATGAGCCACTTTTCAGGCCTGTTTTGGCAAATTTTTTTAAAAGAAGATTCAAAAACACACTGAAACCGGTCAGAATTGGCCAATTTAGCAAAATCTCTAAGAATTATCGAGTTTCTGTGTTAAAATTGAGCTAAATCACCTGAAATAGACTTTAAACGATGATTTTTTGGCCTGTTTCGACAAAACCTCTTAAAATAAGCGAGTTTCTGACTAAATAAACAAGCTAGATCACCCGGATTTGGCTAAAATAGAGTAATGCAGACCTAAAATGAAGATTCTTTCCCATTTTAGAAAAGTCCAACTTGTTCTGGTAAAATTTATTATTATTAATTATTACTGATTAAAAACCAAAATTTGGCTAGAATAGCGTTAATTCAGACGTCGATTTTTTGGCTTGTTGAAACAAAAAACTTAAATAACAGAGTTTCCGGGTTAAAAATTCAATTGAAATCACTGAATGGGCACTATACACTTCTAAAACGACCATTTTTTTGCCCTATTTCGATAAATTCTCTTCTAATAAAAGCGTAAATTTGTAATTTTAGAAGTAATGCAGTATTAGATTCCATTCGTTTTTCCAAAAAAAATTTTTATGAGCAATATTTGCTTGTTCTATTTTATCCATTAATAAGCTATGAATGAAATAAAAAGGAAAACATAAAAAACATAGCAGGCGTTCGACGTGTTGACAGCTTCCAATCTGTCAAACTTTCCCAAAATTTCAAAATGAGCTTTACACGAAAAGCCCTACCAATGTTCCGCCTAATCACAAGACAGTTTGCCACCAAAAAAGAGCCCCCAAAAATCGTGGTTCGAAAACAGTTTGCTAAACTGAAAGAAACTCAGAAACGATTTAGTTGCGACGACGGCCTCCCAGTTTGGCTGAAAAACGGTGCCACTGACAAAATCCTCTACCAACTTAGTTGGGCTTTGATATTCCTTGGTCTGGGATTAAGTGTCGAGGTCTATGTCCGAATAATCATGAAAAATCTGGGAATAGGCCAAGAGGAGGAGGAAAATTCCGCCTAGTTATGTTGTTTGCGCGTTGATAATCATGATGTAATTAATTTCGAAATAAACCAGTTGGTAATTAATGCGTTTTAATTGCGTTATCGATCGGAGTAAAATTTTCAAATTGGGGTTTTGTGCTTGCAGACGAGGCTCGGTCCAACCAGAAGGGCATCCTGGTGCACTGCCTCGCCGGCGTGTCCCGCTCCGTCACCATCACCGTGGCATACCTCATGTACAAATGCTCCCTGAACCTGAACGACGCCTTCAACGTGGTCCGCTCGCACAAGTCCAACATCGCCCCCAACTTCCACTTCATGGAGCAGTTGTACAACTTCGAGCGCGAGTTGAAGCTGAACGTGTCTTCCCAGAGCCCCGAGGCCCTCATGGAGAAGGAGCAGAAGAGCCGCTCCAAAGGCGAGCAGACGCGGCAGCGCGGGGCTTGCCAGAACTGCGGACTTACAGAAAACTGTAAATGTCGACAACACATGGACTTTCTCAGTCCGTTGGCGCAGATCGGGGTCAGTCCCGATTCGGGGATCGAGTTCGACCGGTGGGCCTCGAGCACGCCCAACGAATGAGACAACAAGGGGGGGTCGCAGTGGCACTTTTAAGGTGGCGAGCGGGCCGCTGTCATCCTCCCTTAGCAATTCGTCGTGTCTTATTCCTTAAATGGCTACACTTTTATTGCCAGTATTATTCAGCACAAATTGGTTCAAAAATTGTGTTACTTTGAGGAATCGTTATTTTTATATTAAAACATTGTTGTGTTCTGTAAATACATGTTTATTTTCTTAGAAAGACTGTTGGGCAGCCTGTAAAGAAACTTTTGTATTTTATACGACTACTTAATACTGTTAATTGCTATTAAAGGGCACAATTTCTGATTGTTTACGAGAATTACAAATTGTACTGCATATCGAGATGTAATTTTAGAATTAAAAGCTACGAAATGTTTCCATCCACAGAGTGGATGTTTAAATTTTTACACCTACAGTTTTGGTATTATTAAAATGGCCTAATGTTGATTTTAATAATCTCAAACGTGCCAGGTGACGTGTTGTAGTCTCGCCCTGTATATGGAACATTTTGTGAAAAATTAGTGCCATATTTATTTATTTTTCCATGCATGTAGGAACAATCTTGCCATAATTAGACACCCAATCCGTGTTGGATTACAAAAACATTGTTAAGCTGTATATCGTTATCCAATAGAGAAATTATTGTACGAATAAATGTTAAATGAAATATATATTTTCATGACATAGGTTATAACATAGATTAACTCGGTAGTGATTATATTAAAAGAAAGAATCCAGTCATTAGACATAGGGACTAGACATTTTTTCAACAACTTTGCCACTTGGCTCAGTCATGGTTGAAAATGTTTAACATAGAAATATGCAATGTTTATTTACTGTTAGACAGTAATACAAGCCCTATATAATGAATGTTTGTTATTTTCTTAATTTTAAACACGAAAAAGTTGGCAAAGCCGCCACCTTTCAGTTATTACGTAAATTGATAAGTCAGTGTATCGCTATGTTTACCATTGTTCTATTATAACATTCCTATTGAATTTAACTTTGTAATTATTCTTATGACAAAAACATTTATTCTTCCACTTGTCAGTGACAAATCTTTACAGAATTATTAGTAGGTAATAATGTTCCATATTTTACTTATTGATGTTATTTTATATGTGAATATTTATTGTATATTATTAATCCATGTTTCTTCACAACTTTTGGATAATAAATTTTCAATGTGATTGCCTCGTTTTAGTTTTTTTATTAAATCTTATCGATAATTCGTGATATTGGACAGTCTACTTTGTTGATAAGTATCTGGAGCAGCTGTATTACTTTGAGAATCTCATTTCTTAATTTCCTTTCATCCACCTATAACAAAATATTTTCTATTAAATAACTTAAAAAGAAACACGTACTGAAGACGCCGGCAATTCCCCTGCAAACTGAGTCAACTCGGGGAGGGGCACATCGCATTCAAATTTCTCCAAATCTCCCAGAAGTTGTTGACTTTTTCGCCTCAAAGTGGCATCAGTAACTTGGATGAAAGCCCTAAAGAGAGTCTTCAAATGTGACTGAACTCTTTGTATTTCCCTGCTATTTGAATCATCTAAAAGGTGTAATCAGCGAAAAACGCACGTGTGTTTGAGACTTACTCATTTTTAAAGCCTATATACAAAAGACAAGGAGGAAATTAAATCTGCGTTTACGTTACAAGAGAGGTTATTTTTTTAAATTATGACAGATGACAGCAACTGAGCAGTGTTGCCAGCATTAAATTTGAAAAAACGTCATATAAGGCAAGTTTCAGTAACTTTAATATACGCACCTAACGTGGTTCTGGCATGGCCCAAGGTTTTTTCATTACAAATCTATCTAAAATTAACAAAAACTGCACAACAAAAAAAGAGGAATAGTCAGACAACAACAGAAACTTTTTTTCTTTACTGGGAATCACATGATCAGTGTACCCTGCCAAATGTGCTTATTTTTAATATCAAATTATTGGGTTTTTTAAATTTTTTACATCTACATTTTTTTATTTAAAAATAAGCATTTGCGCAAATTATTTTCAGGTTGGCGACATTGTTTGTCAATTTTGACAGATCGGGTTGGGTAGTCAATGACATTAGTAGATTTATTTATTAAACATTGTTCTTTGTTAAATTCCTCTTGAAATTGTTAATTAAAGCCCAAAAATGTTAGCTTTAATGAACCGAATATTGGACTGGTTTAGGAGCCTGTTTTGGAAGGAAGAAATGGAATTAACACTAGTGGGGCTCCAGTATTCCGGAAAAACAACCTTTGTGAATGTTATTGCAGTATGTTGGGAGTGTTTTAGTGTGAGTTTGCGAAATCACGATTTTGTTTGCAGTCTGGTCAATTCAGTGAGGACATGATCCCAACAGTTGGCTTCAATATGAGGAAAATAACAAAGGGAAATGTCACGATCAAAGTATGGGATATCGGGGGCCAGCCTAGGTTTCGGTCGATGTGGGAGCGCTACTGTCGGGGCGTCAACGCCATAGTGTATGTGTGACCCTCTGACCGGTTTTATGAGTCATTATTGTGCTTTAGATACATGGTAGACGCCGCAGACCCCGACAAAATCGAAGCCTCACGAAACGAACTTCACAATTTGCTCGACAAGCCACAGTTAGCGGGAATACCAGTTCTAGTGTTGGGAAATAAAAGGGACATGCCTCAGGCGTTAGACGAAAATGGCCTTATTGAAAGAATGTGAGTAAACATGTTATTGATGGAAAGTTACTTACTGACCTGTCCAATAGGAATTTATCTGCTATCCAAGACCGCGAAATATGCTGTTATTCCATTTCTTGTAAAGAAAAAGACAACATTGACATCACTCTTCAGTGGTTGATTGCACATTCAAAGTCTGGCATGCGCTAAACAAGCTGTTGTATTATGTGTAAAACGTCAAAGTAATCATATTTTGAACAATGCCAAATTTTGGTTCATATGGTGCAATTATTAATTTAGTCCTTATTGTCGGCTGTGCATAAACACCAGTCTCAATTCCCCCATTGATCTAGAAAAATATGCTTACTTTGATACTCAAATTTCTATTTTCCATTTCAAAACGTCTGTGGACCATTCGCGCTTCGTGTGTACCCCTCAAACATTTTGATTTAAGTTAAGTTTCAAGACTAAATTGTGTACTTTTGAAATTAAAAATAGAAATTTATATCATAGGTTAATCACTTGCTAAACAATGTAGATGTAAGTTACCATAACTCTACAAATGCAGTTAACACGCTGATTTTTCTATAATTAAATTCATCGTTGTTAGAACGTTGCCGGTTACTAGTCTCTCATGACTCGATTGCTTTCATAGTGTTAAAAAAAAAAAAAACAGTGAAAGTAACAAATTATTCTCATTTTTTTCCACATTTTATTTGTACAAAGTGAGATTTTTTATATAGTTTTTAATTGTGAGTACTGAATCTTTATTTCACATTCACATCAATAATTAAGGTCTATTATTTTCTCAATTATTGTAGAAATTCTAGGTCTGGAATAAAAATATCCAAAGTGCGCTTAATTTTTATTATAATCACACAAATCAATTCTTGTTCCTATTTCTCTTAGCTTTGGCACCCTTCAAGGCCCCCGCCTTGGCCCCCTTAATGATATTCTTAAACTGTCCTGCTGCTTTCGATTTTTTTCTACAACTTTCAAATCAACAAAAGCCACACTCGCCCTATACTCACCTTTTGTTAATCGCCGACCTGCGCAAGGGCAAGTAGGCGTAAGGGTCGGGTTTCCCCTTCTTTTTAACATCACCCTTGGCCCTTTTGCCTCTATACTCGCTCCCAGGGGCGCTACTAGCGCCACTGCGGACCGACGCCGCACTTGTCGAACGATGTATCCCAATACCTCCAGTTTTATATTTTACAGGTGGCTGACTTACCGAGCTGACTCCACTCTTGACACTCGCCGCTCTTTTGCGTTTCCTATCGCTTAGAACAAGAGTTTCAGCGACGCTTTTATCATCGACGTCCGAGTCTGAATCTGAACCGAAATCGATTTTGTTTTTCTTGTCGGTGTCGCTGTCAGAGGAGTCGTCGGTGATGATGAGTCTGCCGTCGGGGGCGGTTTTGAAACCGCGGTCTTTTTCCGATTTGGGGTTTTTAGCTTGGAAGGGGGTTGAGGAGCCAGGTTGCGTCGCTGGGAAATAAATAAAAGTAGAGAAAGAAACTAAGGAGGTTACAGGTACCTGTAATTTTGCTAACAACGTTGGGGTCAGTGAAGTCAACAATTGAATCAGGATCTTCCGTAATCCAAGTGCTTGGTTGTTTTCTTTTGACGATTTTGCGCTGGTCGGTCTCCATGTCTTCGACTTCGGAGTCGGAGTCGGCCAGGATTTCTTCAACACTAAAAAATAATCAAAGAAATCAGTATTTTTGATATTAATTGACTCCTTTGCAAAAATTTCCACCAAAAATTAACCTTGCAAAATTAAAAATCAAAGTAATTTAAATCTACAGTTTCGCGGCTTAATAAATTACAAAAAAATTGCAAAATTGCAAAAATTATTCCTTGAGGGTTTAGTAAGACGAAATCCTGTTTAAGAGAAGAAGAATTAACAGCAGAAAAATATAGACTGTTACACTTGAGTGCAAAAAAACGCAAATTGATTTTTTCCATAATGTAATTTGGCCTGTGAATAAATGCAAGTTTTTTGACGTTCTCTTTGTCACAATACAAAACTTCATAATTGTCAGGCATTTTTTATCAAGTTTTTCCACTCGTTTTTAACACTGACTATGACACTGCACTGGCAAGACCACCAAATACGACATTAATACATTTCTTTTGATAGTTTTTTAACGTTTTTGGGAACAACCTTTTTCACACTATCTAAAACTGAAAAATTTGACAATTTTGTTTTTGACAATTTGCGTTTTTTTTTGCACTCAAGTGTACATGAAAAAAAACAAAGTTATGATAGTTTAAAAAACATACAATTTGATCACTTCTAGTTAGCATCTTGTACAACAAAAACAAATAAAAATTACACCAAAGAATAGAATAAAGCCTTCTTTACCAACGTGCAAAATTTTACTTTTCTATTGTCATGAATATAGTTGTTAAAAGAATTTAAACCATAGTAAAGAAATACAATAATTTGGCAACGCCGCAACCGAAACCTAAAAACAAAAGGGACATTGTAGCTAGATTTGTGAGCTTGAAAAGTTTCGAAGAACACTATAAAAATTTTGAAAAGTTAAAACACAACTGATGTCGGTAATGCAGATTTCTTTACATCTCAACTTTACTATTTCATTTTTTCTACTTTATGTCTATGATTTCTAGTTTTTTATTCACATGATTACATTAGGGTTTTGTAGATTTACCAAAAAATATTATTTTTGAATACTTATAAAACGTTTCAAAACGATTGAGATCTCAGTAGGCGTTGAGAATGTAAATCAAACTTTTTAGTTACAAAAAAGTTACTAATGTGAACATTCTTTAGATAACGATATTTCATAAAAAATGACATTTCAGTTAAATTCTGTAGGAAAAAATAACATAACCTATTTGTTTGGTGAATATTCAAGAAACGTGAAACAGAAAGAAAAATAAAAGAGGAAATGCACAAGAATCTCTTAAAATGAAAAAAGTAACAAATTGTGGAATAAACATATCTTCAACCAGTGGCTGCAATCGTACAAAGATAAACAACCTAGAATTGTCAAAGTATCAAAGTTGCCAACTTAAATTTGAATTTTTATGACCTGCGACATGTCAATAATTTTGAAACGCTCTATAGTTTGGCCATTGACAACACTGACTTTTTTAGAATATTAAATGTTATGTTATTTGATATTATGTTGTTATAAAAGAATTGATATATTCCTAAATATGTAGGTATTTTTTAATTAAACAACGGTGTTACTTTTACTTTTAAGTTTGTAGTAAAAGTTAGAAAAAAATATTTAAACATCCGACAAGTGTAAAAAAGCGAAAGTGTCAAATATTTCAAACGTTTCATAAAAAAATTGTAAGTTTCATACAATACTGTTTGTAACATTTACGAAAATTAATTAAAAATTTAAGAAAAATATGATCGAAGTGTGCTATGACTTTGAAATTAAGTTGGCAACATTGGCTTCAAAGTCAAACGTCACTATAGTCAACTGTCATTCATTTCTGCGAGGCGGCCGTTGGTATACTCCTCACAATAATTCGGTGTTGCCAACTTAATTACATAGTCACAAATCTGTAGATTTATTTATTAATACCTTTTCGGTTTCGCCTTGACCAAAAATTCCTCATCCTCGCTTCCTTCCTCATCTTTCTCTCCTTCCTTCTGTCTCTTCTTTCTCGCAAGTAGCTTCCGGATATTTCTCAATCTTTTATACATAACAGTATTCGATTCTGGTATATAAGGCGCTATAGACTCACTTCCGTATTTCCTCACTAACTTATTTAAAATATCTCGAATTTTCAACCGGAAATGTCTACTACAATCATCCGTCATCGAACACAAAGCCTTGATCTAAAACCAAATTTCGTCGAATCTTTTTTCAAAATAGTAAAACTCACAATTTGTGGTAGTGACCCAGCAACCATGGGACTAGGTATCGACTTGCAATACACTTTAATAAAACTCAAACAAGCCGCAACTAATTCTCTCGTTGACGATGACATTAATTCGGTGATTTTATCCAAAATCCATTGAATGTTGCTTTGACCAAGGCTCCCTAATTGAATTTAATTAAAACAAAAACAAAAAAACTCAAAATATTGATAATCAACCTGAAAAATTGTGAAGAATTGACGCCAAAGCCAAAACACTGCAACTCATGAGATTCACATTGCCAACCAAACCACCAACAACCATCGCAACAAACTGATCCAACTGATTATGTTGTTGCAAGGTTTCACCCACTGTATTCAAAACCTCGTACGAGATATACCGCGTCTTCTCATTGATGTCTTTGCACGACAAAACAGCCTCCGGTATAACCCTCTTGATGAGTTTACTGTCAGCCTCAAGCTGCGGTTGGGCCTTGATCAAATAATTCAAACACCTCAGTCGGGCCCCCTTACTCGACACAGCGGCCGTTTCTAGCGACTTCCAAAGCAACGATTGCACTTCCTTTCGATTGTTTTTGATAAATTGTTTGCAACTTTCAGACTCACTCCCGCATATCTCTTCCAATAACCGATAAGCTTTCTTTTGCTCTTTGTTGCTTTTTATCTCAGGTAAAGGCTTGACGCATTGCTCGTATAAAAGTTTAATATTCTCGACTTGTTGATACGGTACTAGAGCCCGAATCAAATCCAAGATACTCTCTTTTATGAAAGAGTCTTCAGGGTCCTCCGACGAACTATTTAGTCGTTCAATTGCATGGTTTAGGAGTTGTTGAGTGAGTTCAGGTTTGGCAATTGTTAAATAGACTTTGATTGTGTCCAAGGCTGCCAACCTTTGACCCTCTTCGTCACTTCCCATAGGTTTGGTGGTATAAACATTGAATAAAATAGGAAGATAATTTTTATCGAATCGGGCGAGTTCGTCAATGTCCTCTTGATTTTCTGATTCTTTAGCACTTGCGATTAATTTACGCAGTGATGCCATTACAGATAATCGCAATTCCTTGCGGTCCGAAATTGCAGTCCCCAAGACTTTTGCTATGCTCTGGGAAAATAAAATTAAGTTGGGAACATTGACAATTGACGTTTGGGTCAGTGTTGCCAGGTCTGGTGAAATTTCATAAAATCTGGTGGTATGCATGCTTGTCTGGTGATTTGGTGATAACTTTTGTCAAAATTTTAATTTTAGGTGATTTTTTTGAAAATGAAAAAAATAATGTCAAATATAAACGATATTATTTTTGCATCTTTTTCGAGCATTTTTTCAAGCAGAAACGAGATTATTTCCCCCAATTTTCTCAAAAAACATCAAAAATTACCAAATTAGTAAAATAGTTCTATTTGTTTCTTATGAGAATTTAGGTTAAAATTATTTAAGTATAAGTAGGTTATTATTTATAAGTAGGTTAAAAATTGAGTTGTTTTCGCGGTTTTTAAGTGTTTAAGCGCGTTTTAAAGGTATAGGCAAAAAAACCGAAAAATTTCGTTTAAACATACTAAAAAATTGCAAAATTAAATCGAGATTGATATTATTTTCAGCTTGTTTTGTTCGGTTTACACCGTTTTTGAACCAGAGGCTAATTTATTTTGCAAAATCTTGTTCCAACACGCCTAAAAATTTTAAATAGAATTGATATTTTTGTTATCTTGTTTGGGTTAACTAGTTTTTGAGCAAAATTAAGACAAAAAGAGACCACAACGTTTGGTCGACAATTCTTTTAAGCAAAATCTCAGTTTTTTTTGCAAAATTAAAGCAAAAAGTCAACAAATTAAAACATTTTTGATAAAATTTTGTTGAAAACATGCTGAAAAACCACTGAGTGGCCCGAAAATGATGTTATATTTGCCTTTTTCGAGTAATTTAGAAAATTTTTTTCAGCTAGAAACACAAAATTTCGTCAACAAGACAAAAATTTAACACGGTGGCCAAAAAATTATGTTACTTTTGCGCTTTTTGGGTGTTTAAGCAAGTTTTTGAGATAAAAACAAAAAAAAATTGAAAAATCTCGTTTAAACAGGCTCAAAATTACAAAATTAAATTGGTAGAGTAACATTATTTTTAGCTTGTTTTGCTCGACTTACACCGTTTTTGAACCAGAGGCTAGTTTATTTTGCAAATCTTCTTCAAATACGCCTAAAAATCTTAAAAAGAATTGATATTGATGTTATCTTGTTTAGTTTACTTTTGAGCAAAATTAAGACAAAAATAAGCCTAGAGACCACAACATTACTCGACAATTCACGTTTCTTTTTACAAAATCTAGCAAAATTTTGCTAGAACAAAGCAAAAGTCAACAAATTAGCACATTTTTGAGCTAGAAATGCCATTTTTCGCAAAATTTTGTTAAAAACAAGCCGAAAAGTCACTGACTGGCCCGGAAATGATGCCATTTTCGCCTTTTTCGAGTAATTTAGAAAAAAATTTTCAGCAAGAAACACAATTATTTCATAAAATTTCGTTAACAAGACAAAAATTTAACACGGAGGACTAAAAATGGTGTTATTTTTGGGCTTTTTGGGTGTTTAAACACGTTTTTGAGATAAAAACACAAAAACATGCTCAAAATTACAAAATTAAATTGAGATTAATATTATTTTTAGCTCGTTTTGCTCAACTTGAACCAAACACTCTTCAAAATCACAAAAATTGATATTTTATTTTATTCACTCTATTTAACCGATTTTTGAGCAAAATTAAGAAAAAAATAACCCGAAAAACCACAAAAGTTAATCGAAAATTCTTTTATTAAACACTGGTTTTTTACCAAAATCTCAGTTTTTTGCAAGATTTCACTGAAACAAACCAAAAAGTCAACAAATTAAGCTGAAGCACGTTTGTCAGCTAGAAATGCCATTTGTAAACTTTTGAAACTATTGGAAAGATTTAAAACATAATTTTGTAATCTGGTGAAAATAGGCGTAATTTGGCAACTTTTTTAACTTGAATCTGGTGAACTTGGCAACACTGGTTTGGGTTGATCCGTTAATGTTGCCAACTTCAAACCCACCTTAAAACTGTCTTTAATATCTACTGGGTGGTTGCAAAAACACGGCAACAGGTTCCATAATTGCATGTAAAGAAGTTCAGAACTGTGTGCGCCTATCCCATCATTGGCTTCCGCCAGTTGTGCTGATCGTCTTTGACAGTAAAGAGCCAATGGGAGAATGCCCTTCATGAAATACTCAATAGTTGATGCTTTTATGTTTTCTTTTAGGACAGGTAGCATCCAGGACCTGTCTAAATTCAAATCACCGTTGTCCTTCTGAAATGTTTATGATACTTTTAATTCATTTAAAATGTGTTTAAAATACCTTTAAACTTATGACATTTATTACAGTTTCAGGCCCCATTGACCTAATTGCAGCCCCAACTGCATGTTCCAATTCGTTATTGTAACTGAATTTGTACGAATCTCTCAATTCGCTTAATGATTTCAAACAGTTGAGGAGCATGTGACTGCAGTTTTGACCACCAACCTACAAAAACAAAAAAGTGATTAATTTATTCGCAAATCAATTTTTTTCCATTCTTATTTGTTTATTTAAATGCTAAAAAACCGTCTTTTGTTTGCCAAACTATTGATTTCTTTTTCAATTTGTGAATAATTAAATTCATCGAGCAACTTTACTGTTAAAAATATAAAAGTTAAATTCTGCATATTGGTACCTAAAGAAGACTTTCCTCTGTTTGATGTAAGTTTTATTTGCATTGTTATACAAGGTGCTTTCTAGAAGTGATCAAATTGTGCAACTTTACTATTTTTAATGTAACACTATATTTAGCATATTTTGTTATTTTATGGTATTCTATTCTCAATTCTCTTTCTTTTAATTATACATTTCGTGTGCCTAAACAATTTTTTTTTATTCTTCAAGGAAAAAAATCTCAAGCTTTAATTTATTTTCATTTTTAATAGGTCATAAGAGCATAGGCAATTTATAAAATAGTTATTTATGTTACAAGGCCGTGAACTAGAATTTTTCTTATGAGAATGAATATTATTTGGCGAGGCGAAGGCCGATAGTTCACGGCCATGTGGCATACAAAATTTTGTGTGCAACTGTGAAAAATTACCAAAATTAAAGTTTCGATCGAATCTTTACATAAAATTAAATTTAGCAGTGTAATGTGTAATTACATATTAATAATTATCTAATAAAAGCTAATTTCATTCAAGATCATGACCCGTAAAAAGTCTTTGTAGGCCGGTAAAAAAAGTCTTTTTTTTACATTGTCAAGGCTTTATTTTACTATAAACAAATGTGCTATTTCACGACTCAAAATCAAGCAAAAAAGTGACTTTTTGGCAGTTGGACACATTTTTTTTTTGAATTAACAAAAACGAAGTATTTAGTAAATTTAATACACTCGTAGGGATCCAAAAGACTTAGAAAGGTGCAAAAATGTTGTAAAAAAACTGAGAAATGTGCATAAAACGTTGTTCGGGCGAGTATAAAAAAAAGATTTATTAGCGTTTTCGTAAAAATTAAAATGCTCTAGGATAAGTAGTTTTTGAGATATTGAGTAATAAAGCTAAAAATTAATTAACAAATTTTTACTTCTTTTTATTTTGTAAATTGCAGCAAAACTATACCTCAATGATAAAATATTTTGACATGGACATATGTAAAATGTTCCAGGGAATCGACTGGCGTCAAGAAAACTGCAAAATTCGTAATAGTTTTGAAGTTATAGTCGAATTTATAGTTTTGATATTTTTGACTTTATCAGAAACTTTCTCGATAACTATTTATCGTAGAACACTGATCTTTTTTGTATATAATAGAATATTAAATTTGTTTTCCAACGGTACCAAACATAAGAGGTTATTACCAATAAGTCCAGAGTTATTCGCAATAGACCGCTCCGGGTGCCAAAAATAGACCAAAATCTCAACAAAAATCAAAAAAATATAACGTTTTTTACATTTCTAGAGGTCTTAAAGACTAAAAAAAGTGCATAAAAACGTTTTTGGGTCAAGTTTAAAAAAATTACAAATTTTTTGAGTTTTTGAATGTGAGCAGTCGTAAAACGCTTGAAATATTGTCTCCTACTCATAAAATTAAGTTTTATGATAATTTAAGAAAAATGACTTGAAAAGATGTTGAAGAAAATAAAATTCTGTCCGAAAACGATTAAATTTTTAAATAAAAAAAAGTTGAGTCACTTATAATAAAGATTCTTGTGCTATTCACTTGTTTATTAAATACATTCAAGGTCACCCTGTATATGAAACCCTCTTTTACCTCGAACATGACTGCGATCAAATGTAGAACCTGATGCCACACGGTGTGGTACTGGTACCCAAGGCCTGCTTCAACACAACTAAAACACTTGCTGATTTTCGAACTAAACTGTTCCACTTGTTCTTTGGTAACACAAGCTGGACCAATAGCATCCTTTAGTAAATTTTCCAACGCATGAGTGACAGCCGTCATAATTTCGCTCTTTTCCGAAAGCCACAACTGACTAATCGTTGAGAAAATCTTCGGTAAAGCCGCACATGACGTGGCCAAATCAATACTAAAAAACCTTAAAATTAGAAAAAAAAACTCAAATTGGGGGATTCACGCACTCGGCCAAATGGACATGCGCTTGTTGCATCACCGCCAACCACGCGAGAGTTGGTTGCACATCACCAGCAGCCGGTTGATACTCGTACAAAGCCGAAATCAACTGAGCGTTTAATTTTGGGGGAACCACAGCTGTTGGGGCCGAAAAAAGGGCGTGGAGTACTTGCAAACCGCATGATGTTACAATAGGGTAGTTTAGAGTCATCAGTCTCAAAATAATTTCGCACGATTTCTAAAAATAACTATTTTTTTTGAAACAGAAATGAAATACCTTCATACCTTCATGTGCGACTTTGAAAAATTACAAATAGTCTCCTTTAGTAACCCTAAAGTGTGTAAAATAGTCGTTTGACCTGCTTGCACGGAGGAAACTAGAATAGCCCCCGAATTTCCCCCCATGCAAGTGTCTAAAGTTTGTTCACAAAACTCGGCGATTTTATCAGCCGCTATATTCGTGTTTCCATTGAAATAATCCGATTTCACAACCAAAATAACAGCTTGTTGGGCCGCTTTACGCCACTGAAAAAATAAATAAGTGGACAATTTTCAAGTCTCAATGTCTCACTTTTGGTTTTGTGTGAAGACAAAATGGCAATATTGACGCAAAAATTTTAACTGTTGCTTCATTAGTCCAAATGATCAATTCTTGTTTTCTCAAGAGCGTTCCCAAAATCCCAAAAACGGACTTGATAATGGTATTGTTATCACTCTCCACATAATCGTTAAGAATGTGCAAAACTTTCGCTGATAAATCAGTAAAAGTCCTGCGTAAAACAGGCTCAGGCACTGTCTTAATCCCCATGTTTAATAAAGCTAAAGCAGCAGTCAACTGATCTTCATTTCGCTCCTCTGACTCATAAACACGTTCAAGTGCAGTTATCTGTAATTATCATTCAATGATTTGAAACAAAATTATTTTTCTTACCAAAGAACAGTAATACTCTGTGGGTGTTTCAGACCCCCCATTTTCCTTAATAACTTCACTAATCGCCGCCAGCATGGCCAACATTTCCTTATGTAGCGCCGAATCAGCCCTGAACACCTTCAAAAAGCGGGTGAAAGACATGTTGCTGTAACTTGACCATTCAGAGGCGAAAGATTCCATTGTTTTGTACGAAGAGTAGGTCCCAACTGAGGATTCAACATCATCATCTATGCCCATAGGTTCCGGATCTGGTCGTGGTTTGAAAGCTTGAACAGCATCGTGTTTGCGTAAAGCTTCCGAAGTCAAATTACTAGAGCCGAGATTTTCTTGAAAGAAACGGGATTTTGCCAAATCGCGGTATTTGTGGGTTTCAGGGTTCGAGCTGGAGCTCTGGCCCTTCGGCCAACGCTTTCCTTTGGTCTGGCCCTTAAGTTTAGAGCGGAATTTTCCCATTTTAAAATCTATAATAAAAAAGCTTCTAACATAACCTCATTTATGAATCATGCAATTTTATCTTAAATAAGCAAAAGTAAACAGTTTTAATAAAAATCATATCAAACTTACATGTTTTGTGTTTATAAATCACGTAATAATTGTAACTGTTACTTAATAATATTTTTATTCACTAAAAAACTTCATCACACGTGGGAATTGGCAAGTGACATTGCCACACGTGATATTTTTGTATGCAGTCACACCAATATAAAAAATGAAAACTTAAATTTAAAGATAAATTTAAAATTAAAACAGTACAATTACTTTCAGCAATTTTTTTTTATTAAATTATAGCTCATTTTATTCTACTCCTGTCGGATAATTAAAATTACCAACAAACAATTATTGATCAAGCATTTTAAATCAGAAGTGCCCCTGAAGGCTAGTCAACCAACAATACGTTTTTTTAGATTTGGTGAATGATGATTTTTTAGAAACGTGACTGTAGTTCCAACAAAAAATTAATGTATTTTGAATAATAACACCAATTTTTTTGTATTTTTTTGCACCTTTGCACCACTTAAATGCTAAATTTTCTCAAAAACAAGTTATAAAATCGAGACCCTATAGTTATGTTTTTGTAAATGATATTTCACTCAACAAAGTAAAAAAATCGCTAAAAATCGATCAAAAAGTACATTATTGAATCCATTTCTGAGCGTTTTTGTATGTTTTTAGTCAGAAGCAAAATTATTTTGCAAAATTATTTCGTTAAAAACAAACCGAAAATTTATCAAATTAGACCAAAATTGGTGTTATTTTTGGATTTTTAAAGTAACTCTTTTAGCACGTTTTAAAAATACATTCAAATTTTTGCTCAAACTGACTAAAAAATTACCAAATTAGATTGAAATTGATATCATTTTAGCGTGTCTTGCTCGATTTGATTCGTTTTTGAACGAGAGACTCATTTATTTACAGGATATTGTCAAAACATGCTTAAATACAACAAAAATGAGTAAAATTTTGTGAAAAAAATAAGACGAAAAATACATGGTCAAAAAAGGTATTAATTGCAAGATTTTGCTAAAACAAACAAAAAAAACAGATCTAAATTGATGTTATTTCGTTTGTTTCATTCGTTTTTTGAGTGAAATTTTGCAAAAAAATACGACGAAAAATACAAAATATGGTCGAAAATGGTGTTATCTAATTGCAAATTATAGATTTTTTATCACCCGACATTTCGCAAAACTGAATTAAACACTAGCCAAAAAATTACAGAATTAGACTAATTTTTTGACTAATTTGACTATTTTTAAATTTTTCGAGGGTTAGAGCATGGTAACTTTTCAACTCAAATCTGGTGAATTTAAGTGTTTTGGCAACACTGGGCGCAAGTTTTGCGCGGGAGAAAGTTTGAATGTGAGGTTAAGTGAGTTTGCAAACTTTCATAGTTAGAAAATTGGTTGTTTTGCACCATGGATTTCACGAGTTATCGCCGCTCGGCCCGAAAGACCGCCCCCGAGGAGCCCCTAGCGGCGCTGTACCCCCACGACGTGAATATGTACCGAATAAGTCCAAAAAACGAAATATCCATCTTCGAATTTGAGGAAATCGCCCTTGGTCGTCTCAAATTGCTTCGAATTATTGAACAAGCGGCCCCCAAAGGCAACAAATTGTACAGCGACCAGTGGAAAACATGCATAAAGGATGACTTAACCAAAGCGGGGCTAAAAAAGTACGTGCGGTTGATGGGGGGCACAAGTGGCACCTCCGACTTGGATTACCAAGCACGCAGGGCTGATTACATCTCGCATTTCATCCTGCGACTCGCGTACTGTCGCTCTGAGCAATTGCGACGCTGGTTTCTGAGTCGCGAACTTGAATGGTTTTGGATCCGGTTCACGGCTCAGTCGCGCGAAGGAGTGAGGAATTTTCTGCGAATTTTCAAATTTTCCCATTCCCCGATCTCAGAGGACGAGAAAAATTCGCTAAGACATGAGCTGGAGGCGTCAACTATGGGGCTGCATGTCTTTGACACGACTGAATTTTATAAAGTGCCCTTCACTGAGGTTTGTTCTTTGGTCAAAGGCAGGAAAGTCTTCATCAAAGCCGGCTTTGCTTACATCCCCTCAAGCGAGTTGGTGGTTTGCATTCAGTCAAAATTCAGGGCTGAATTAAGCGAAGAGTTAACTGTATTTTTCCATTTTTTTTTTTTAACTTGTTTTAATTGGAAAATTTCAGTGGTACAGCCACCGAGTTCACCTCTTTGACGACGAGAGAATAGCCCCCTTGTTGGCCAACTTCCACAACATCCACACTGGCCAAAGTTACACAATCCGGCAAAATCAAGAAAGTGTGGATCCCGCAAATCTGGATGTTTACTCGAAAAAACACTTCCCCCCTTGCATGAAACACCTGCATGAGGTGTTAAGGGCTGAGCACCACCATAAGCACAAGGCGCGTCTCACTTACGGCCTTTTCTTGAAAGCCATCGGACTGTTGTATGAAGATGCGTTGAAGTTTTGGAGAGACGAGTTTACGAGGAAAATGGACTTGAACCAGTTTGAGAAGAATTACGTTTACAATATCAAACATATGTACGGTTTGGTGGGGAAAAGGGTCAGTTACTCGCCCTACAGTTGTATTAAAATCATTACGAGTAGTGTGGGGCCGGGGGAGCACCACGGATGCCCCTTTAAGCATTGGGATGCCGGTCTTGTCAAGCAAAAAGCCATAGAATGTGGAGTTAGTCTCGAAGGTAGGTTCAATCTAGGGTATTATGTTTTCAATGTTGGCGACAATGCAAATTGCCGGTGGCGCACATGATAAAATCCTGACAATTCGTTTCCAGATTGTACACTGTTGATAATTTTCATCAAGTTGAATTTTCTATCGTTTTCATTTTGTGAATATAACTCTGCTACGTGTTACCAACCGACGCAAAATTCCCTAAATTTAATTTTTTTTGTAAAATAGAATTACAAACTTTTGCTTGAATGGAACATTTATAACTAATTCCAGGTGCAAATGAGATTAAGGAGCTTGCAACTAATGGTCATTACCAACTAGCTTGTGGGAAATATTTTGAATATACTCATGGAAAAGCCCCGGAAAGTGGGATTAATCACCCCAATCAGTATTTTGAAGAGAGCATGAAGATTGAAAAGGAAGCTTCAGGAAATAAGAAATAAAATCTAGCTTTACGTTTAAATTATTTTATGTTTGTTGAATTAAAATAGGTGCTTTTTTATTTTCTTATTGATTTTGACCAACAAGTGATACTTTTTGAGTAGGTAACTAATTTTCCCCACGAGACTTACAGTTTTCGAAAAAAAACGCGTTCAAAATTTTGAAAAATCTAATTTTTGACTATTTCAAGTACCGATCACAACAAAGCTCAGAATTATTGATTTATTACTGTATTATTTTTTATCAATGTTTTGGACTATACCAGGTGAACCAGGTATGGAACCAAACGTTTTTTGCTTAAATTATTTATTTTTTGAAAAAACTAATTGATGAGTGATAAAGTACTATAAAAATGTGATGATTTAACAAGAATAAAATTTTTCGAAATTTCCTTTTATTTTTGAGTTCTACAAAAAATTATTTTTTTAAATGGCAACCCACTATAAAATCATTTTTCTCATAAAAGCTATACTCTAAGGATTATAACTATCTGCTTTATTTTTAATTAAAAAAAAAAAAAATTTTACACATAAATTGCAATTTTGACAAAAAAAATCGCATAACTCAAAAACAAAACAAAATTTCGTTCTGAAAATACAATCACATTTTTTATAATACTTTAATTTATATTAATTATTATTTTCCGGAGGCAAATGATTAAAAATAAAACCGCTTGGTTCCATACTTTATATTTACCCTGTACAGGGTGCTGCATTTTGTATGTCCGAATAGGGAATCTCCGAAACTAAGAGGTTTAGCCAAAAACGAGTAATACATTCTGGGGCTCATTTTTTGAGAAAATAATATTGGTTAAAACCGCATCCCCGCTATCGTCTTTTGTTTTCGACTTATAGACAAAAATTGACATTTTAGCGAAATCTAAAAAAATTCATATCTTTGTTATTATAGAAGAGACAGATTTGAAATAAAGACATTATACAGGCACTTTTTTACGTAGAATTTAATAATGTAGTTAACAATTTTTTTCAGTTGTTTGTTTAGCCGTAATAAAATAAACTTGTATTTTTTTAAATGGGAATCATAGATGGCTATGTCATTTTTAAAAAGCTTGTTTTTTTCTTATCTAAAAAATATATATTTGTAACAAATTATTATAATACATTTTTAGCAAAAAATTATCTTTGATTTTTGTTCGCAGCTGGCCATGAAAAAATGTTGCATCTTCAACCAAAAGGATTTAAATTATATTATATTCAACCAGTGTCACTAATGAAAGAGTTTTCTAAGTACTAAGTGATGAAAAAGATGCAAAATAAATTGTAAATCAACTTATTGGCGACTAATAACATTTCTTTGTTTTTAAACAAGCTAACATTATCATTGCAACTTCTAGTGATACATAGAGTGTTGTAAAAAAAAGCCGCTTTAATTCTTCAATAAAATATATTTTATATGACACAAAAATGACGATATGGCCATTCAAATACCCAAATTCCGTCTATGTGAAACGTTATCCTACCTCCATTAGATCATCAAAAAAATGTTTTTTTCTAATTGTGTTGACTGTTGACACATTTGTTTTTCCTATTTTTGGATTTTTTAAAAATATGTAATAATTTTGTTCTGAGGCGCTCGGATATTTGTTCAATGCTTCTACCGTATCGTATTTTTTAAATCTTTATAATTTTATCTATTTTTTCATCTATTTTACAGTTCGCAAAACTCTTATTGATTATTATTTACACATTTGGAGTGAAATAGTTTTTCCATGGCCAACTATTATCACACAAAATATGTATTTCACTTTTTAAGTATAGTATTAAAAAAATATTTTGTTACAAATTTATATTTTTTAGATCAGAAAAAAATAAGCTTTTCAAAATTGCCATAGCCGCCTATGATTTCCATTTAAAAAAATACAAGTTTATCTTATTACGGCTAAACTAATAACTGAAAAAATTGTTAACTACATTATTAAATTCCTCGTAAAAAAGTGCCGGTATAATGTCTTTATTTCAAATCCGTATCTTCTATAATAACGAAGATATAAATTTTTTCAGATTTCGCCAAAATGTCAACTTTTGTCTGTAAGTCGAAAACAAAAGACCAATATTATTTTCTTAAAAAATGAGCCCCAGAATGTATTACTCGTTTTTGGCTAAACCTCTTAGTTTCGGAGATTCCCTATTCGGACATCCAAAATGCAGCACCCTGTACATACGTAAAATATTTTGTTTGGCGTTGAGAAACCCTAAAAATTCTGCTTACTTTAGTTGTTGGCGGATTTATAAATTTTCTGTCTTTTTTTTAATAAACGCAAAATTAAAAGTACTTTCTAACGGTACCAAGCCTGAGGGGCTACGACTAATAGTTCTCGAGTTATCGCCTGATATCAGAAAAATTTAAAACTAAAATTAGTTCAAATAACAGTTCTTGCGCTTCTGGGGATTTTAAGTACTCAGAAACGATTTTGAGTCGAATTGGAAAAAATCCATTCTCACATTTATGAAAATTCCTTGTAATTAATATAAATCATCAAAATTATTTTTTTTCAATTGTGCGTCTGAAAGAAAGCTTATTTCGTTACTAAAACCAACGCTTTAATAAGCCATTTCAACACCAATTTGGGTGCTGAAATGGACTAGTACAATTTACTTTCCAGAGGTTGGTAATGGTGATTTTAAGCGACGTGCATGAAAAGTTTACAGTATTCATTGCTAATTCAACAAAATTTTGAAAAATATTCGAGACTTGACATTTCGAAAATCGAATTTTTCAAACTTTGTGATATTTATTACCAACCATCATCTTATTAGGGCAAAAGTTCCTAAATTTTGAAGGATTGATTCTATTTAAAAAAAAGTACGTAAAACGCTCTCGTTTCATAATCCTCGAACCACAAAATTTGCCTTACGAAACGCGTTCTTTAATGTACTATTTAAAGTATAAATTTTGTACCAAGAAAGCCAAAAAAAAAACTGATCTGGCAACGTAGTAAAAAATAATTAAATAATTTTGCCATAGGGAGTCAAAATAACTGTCAGTGGCGATTCCAATCCATTCAAATAAATTTTATTAAACACATACACAAAAGATTACATTCTCGTAATAAAATAACGTGCTGTAATCTAGAGTTTAAGCTATCTCTAGCTAAAAACTTTGGCTAAATAAGAACTGAGTCATTTCAGTTGTTTTGCATATAAAAACCTAACAATTACGTTTCTTTGGCTACAATACTCGTGCTGAAACTCTAGATTAACGCCTAGTATTAAAAATAGCTAAATCGGTTATCAAATCGTGGAAATAAAACATGAGCGGGTTATAATACAAGTCAACGAGACTACTGCTTTTCTCCCTCTAACGTATGTATAAAAATTGAAAATATCACAATGTCGTTTTGAAGGTCCTGAAAAAAATTAGTGCCGTGTTTTTCGTAATTACATTAGGAGCCAATTAAGCAAAATGAGCAGTTTTTGGTCCTCTTGAAACATGATGTAGTTTGCGTTGGACTCATCATACAGAGAATACAATAATCTAGACACGTAACATTGAACACTTGACTTTAAAGCTATAGAATACAATAAATAGGCCTGTTAACAAAGAAAAAAGCAAATTAAAGAATGATACATTTCCCCAGCTTGCTGAGTTTGCGTTTCTTCTGTTTCTCGTGGTCGGGTTGGGGCTGATTTCGTATAATCCTCACAACCTGAAAAAAAACCCTGAAAACGTGGACTTTGGGCCAGTTTCTTACCTCATGGAACGTGGCGTCGATATTGACTGGGGGGTCCTTGGCGCTCGTCTCAATGTACGGAATCCCCAGTTTGTGGGCCAACTCGCGCCCCTGCTCCTCCGTGATCTTCCTCAAGTGCACCAAATCGACCTTATTGGCCACCAACAACATGGGATATGTGTCTCGGTCTTTCACTCTCAGGATCTGAGTGTGGAAATTCACAATGTTCTCATAACTGTTCTTATCAGTGACTGAGTAAACCAGGAGAAAACCGTCGCCTTTCCTCATGTACTGCTCTCGCATTGCGCTGAATTCCTCCTGCCCCGCGGTGTCAAGCACTGAAATTTCACGTTTATTGGAGAAAAAAGGGGCAAAACGGTGTACCGTCCAAGATGCAGCACTGGCCGTCCACCTCCACATGCTGCAAGTAACTGTCTTCGATCGTGGGGTCGTAATCCGTCACAAACAGTCTCTGGAAAAACTGGATGGTGATGGCGCTCTTCCCCACGCCGCCGTCCCCCACAACCACGAGTTTCACGGTCGGGGTTTGCTCATTCGGGGGGCGCGTCATGGCAGTCCTGGTACTGAACTTGCGTTTTTTGCCTATTTTGGCGAGTTTTGGGCACGTTGAAGTCAATTGCTACTCCTGGAAGAGGGTACTTGAGTGGCGGAGATAACAAGGTGATACGAACATGATAAGCGGTGGGGGAGGTTCCGTTGGCGACCCATAACCTTTCATTGTTGGCTTTTTCGTTGTTTTTTAAGCTAAATCATTGCGAAACCCCCGATTAAACCGACAAAAGGGTGGTGTGTGGGTGAGCTTTGTGCGCATGCGCGAGGTTATGTCATGTCATCTTTCAAAAAATTACGAAAAAAGGAATCTGCACTGATTTTAAATATTTTTTCTGTGTTCAATTTTAAATATTTTATTCCAAATAAGTACGTAATAAAAAATTTTTTTTAAGTTTAATTAAAAATAAGTGAAAACCGCTAATAGTAGATGAAAAAACTTTTTTATTTTTATCTCAATTCCAATCATTTTTTGTATTATTTTCTGTTAAACATGTTTACAACATAACTATTTTCATATGCAGCATAACCGTCTTCTTTTATTAAAAAAACTGTCATACAATGGCGGACATGGAATTTTGGACATCAAATTTATGTCAATTCAAAAAATGTCAATGTAAACCACACTTTATTGTCATTATGATTGACGTTTAAAACTAAAATTTGAAAGTTGTTTCAGTTGAAATTTATTTTTGGCGTCGATTTTTCTTTTTTTAATATAAGTTCAATAAATTATTTTGGTTTGTTGTCATTTTTTCTCTAGCTATCTGGACAAAAATTACAAAAACTGAAGGTGCCTAAAGCCCGTTTTACATTTTTATGTCAATCGTCCAAAATTCCGTGTCCTCCAGTGTACATATTATAACGGTGGTTATTTAAATTTGGCGTCATCGTTGGCGGTTCACGAGTGTGTTGTGAACGGACCACAATTTTTAATAGGCCTGACGAGGTATCAAATGTCAGATTAATAACTTTGAATGCGATGGTATGTTCACAATTAAACTTTCATGGATAGCTAATTAAAAAATAGAGAATAGTATAGGCAACCAACTATACGTAGCGAGGCTGTAGTTCAAGGTGCTTTCCAGTGTTAGATACATTATTGATTGTTGAATAAATAACTTAATTAATAACTATTGTCAATAGTCTAAGGAAACCAGACCAATTTATAGAACATTTAATTGCCTGGTATTCTTTAAATAAAATCTCTTTTAATTTTTCGCGAGTTTTAATTACTGCATTCATCGTTGGTCCTGTTCTTCCTGTCTTAAGCTGACGAGGGGGCTCCTTCATGATTATAAAATTGCACACACGACGAATTTCACCACAATTTCGTGGTGGCTTTATTCATCACAAGCAATGATTGAAGTCAAAAAGTGTTGTGTTCTGAAGGGGCCTTATTAGTAGTAAAATATCGTTAAATTCGGCCTTTTTTCGGCTCGTTTCGTTCGATTTAGCTCGTATTTGACTGAATTTTTGCCAAAGCAAGCCGAAAAATTACCAAATAATTAGGAAATTGTTTTACTTTTTACATTTTTTCTAGCGTTTTAAGCATGTTTTTGTATTAAAAATTCTCATTTGCTCGATTTACATCGTTTTTTAGCCAAAGTTTTGTCTAAGTAAGTCGAAAAATTACCAAATGATGTAAAAACGTTATTTTTGTCTTTTTGAGCAATTGAACAAGCTATTCAAATATTTTTTACAAAATTTTGTCAAAATCGGCCGAAAAATTATTAAATCATAATTATATCAACATCGGCGTTATTTTGGCTTATCTTTGAGCAAAATATTGCCAATTATTTAAGCCGAAAAATTAGCAAATAATTATAAATTGTTTTTTTTGCATTTTTTGAAAGTTTAAGCACGTTTTTGAGCTAAAAACTCATTTTTTTGGCGAGATTTTATTATCATTTTTTTATGTTTCAAGTTTTTCATAAAATTGCGTTTGAACAAGGCAAAAATACGGAAAATGGTGTTTTTCGAGCAGTTTCAAATCTAAAAATTCATTAAGAAATTTGCTAAATTGCATCGAAAGTATAAAAGCGTTTGTTTTTTCTTCTAATTTAAAAAATATATCCAAATGAACTAAATTTGAAGTTTTTTTTATTTCAACAGTCTCAATCATTTTTCTCTGGGACTGTTTTGATTAGTAGAATGTTAAACCGAAAGAAACACAAAACTTTGTCACGTAACTCGACAAAACCACAACAATACGCTAAAATTTTTATTAGAAATAAATTAAAAAAAATTCGTATACATTAAGAAGAGATCGGTTGGTAGGCCATCGGCAGCCCCTGCTCCAGGGCATTCCTCTGCCACACCTGCGGCACAATCTCGTACGCCAACTTAGGCCCATGATGGTAGTGCTCCTCCGCCACAAAATTCTTCAAGGCCACGCCAACAGCCACCGTGAGGGCCACCAAACTCATCCCGAAGCCCTTGACGGCCAGCGCGGCCATCAGGGCCAAAACTGCCGGAATCACAATCGCAGCTTTCAGTTTCAGGAACATCAAAATCGGGAGCAGGATTTTTTTCAGCTTCTTCGTCCTCGCCTCTGAAAAAATCAGAGCTATGAATGAAATAAAGTGAACAAGGTCAAGAGCAGGGACGGCTAACGCTACATTTTGTAGGTCAGTAAGTCGCGCTCGCTTCCATATTTCTCGAAATTTGACAATAATTTCGGACAAAACCGCTCGTTTATTACCACTAGTGGTAGAAAAAATGGAATAATTGTGGCAATGTCGTGTCAAATTCAGTGTGTCACCTAATTTAAATCGCCGGAGACCACTCCTCGAGTTAACCGGGTCAGCTGACCACGGTTTCGAACGATTTAAATAAAACAAATAATATATTTCGCTAGAAGTGAAAGAATTTTGCCCTCGATTTTCCGCAGGAGCTTAATTGACAATTGCAAGCGCAAGTTGAACATCACGTTGCGAGATTATTATTTTACCATTCTCCCAGTTCCGGGCCGTTATGGATCGAGCGATTTTTATTTCACGATTTTTCACAAACTGGACGAGACGTTCTAGTACCCCAACCTGGGTTTTCGCCCCCGAGGAATGGTTAGATTTCTTCACCAGACTCAGGCCCAAAACCTCGAGGACCGGCTCGCGATCCAAATCGTCGAAAAATTTCACCAAATTGCTCTCGACGCAGCGGAAATCACCGTTATCGCACTTTGAAACGTCGCAAGTTGCGACAGAAGCGCACAAAACAATCACAATCAAGCGCAACATTTTTTGATTTTGGGCGATTTTGTGGGTGGTAATTGACTATTTATGTGGTGATAATGATAGTAGGGGTTTGCGTAAAATATGTAACACGGATAATGACAAATTCCGTGTTAATGCGTGTCTTGGGAAGCAATCAATCGATTCTGGACTACAAAAATTCGTTTGTATGGCACACGTACCCCAATAACGGGACAGAAAACAACAAAAATGTGTGTGGAAAATAAAAAAAGAAAAATAATTGTACTTTGCCTTCAATTAAATTTTTGATTAAAGTGGTCTGTGACTTGAAAATCTGAGTTGGCAAGACTGAATTGCGATAAGATAAGACTTGACAGTTTAACTTTAAAGTCATAGGCCACTCTGATCAAAAATTGTTGACAGTTTTGACATTTAGGTACGACCAGGTATAGCCAACTACATCTCGTGCCATTTCTAATAAATTGTTGATACCCTAGTACCTACTACATATTTCATATTTTCTTCTTCTTCTTCTTGATAATGTTGACTTTTAACGCCAAAGCAAAATAGTAAATAATTGGTGAAAAATTTCATAAAGCAAAATAATTGAAAAAAAAAATGAATAAGTGAAGACTGTAATTAAAAGAAGGGCAGAAAAACGCAAATTGTCAAAAACAAAATTGTCAAATTTTTCAGAGATTTACATAGTGCGAAAAAGGTTGTTCCCAAAAAGGTTAGAAAACTACCAAAAGAAATGTCGTATTTGGTGGTCTTGCTAATGGAAAAACATGGAAAAATTTGATAGAAGTTTGAAAGATGCTTGACAATTATGAAATTGTGAATTGTGACAAAGTCAACGTCAAAAAACTGGCATTTATTAACAGGCCCAATTTCATTATAAAAAAATCAATTTGCGTTTTTTTGCACCCAAGTGTACTTCGTTTTAAATAAAAAGAAAAAAAATCGAAAAAAAACGTAGAACCAACCTTTCGTAAAACTGCAATTGTAAAAATTTTCCAAATCGACTTATCTACTACAAAGTAACAACACAAATAATTTTCTTTAGTCTCATAATAAAACCTTCAGTTTATATACTTGTTTTCGCAATGGACTTGAAAGTGAGAACAGATCAATAAAAATTTTGCTTTCTTCGAACAAAAACTGAAGATTATTCCTTCAATTAAATTTCTGATTAAAGTGGTTTGTGACTGAAAATATGAGTTGCCAACACTGAAGTGTGATGTATAAATGAATTTTTCAGTGATGTCACCATTAGATCAAAAAGAATATTCTGATAAAAAATATTTTCAATTTATCTTTTTCTTCTTCTTTTTCTATTTTTGATAATCGACTTTTTTCACCAAAGACAAAATAATAAATAATTGATAAAAATACCATAAAGCAAAATAATTATTTTGATAAAAATTATTTTT